GGGGGGTTGAATGAAGACACCTACCTGATGGCCGACGTAGCAAAAACTTGGCCCTCTGAGCCGATGGTGAAAACACATATGGAAGCGATGACGACGATTAAGTCTGAAATAAAAAGAAGAGAAACTGGGCAAGAGTGCCGAGTATGCGTGTGTTAGGGTTGGGAAGGGGGCGCTTAGACACTGGATTTCTAGAAATTACAATTCTGACCCAAAAACGTAGTCTTTATGTCATAGTTCTAAGTTTCAATACTTTGTAGTTTCAAAATTTTATAATGACTTCTTATTGTTATATTTCTACGTTTCAATTACCTCTATCCCAATCTTTTTAAATTCCCTCTCATCCTTTTTTAGTATTTCCATGTTTCTAGGTTTTATTCTGTTCTTTCTGGTTAATTTGTTGGTTGTTGTTTTTTTCTTTTCTAGTTGAAAAGTCGCAAGAGCAAAAATTATGAATAATCAATTTCTTCTCTTTGATTTTATAAAAACTTCAAGAGATGAGTCGGGCACCAAGACTTGTGGAATGATGCTAACCAAAAAAAAATAATTAAAAAATAAGAAAAATAATCACAGCAACCTACCTATGATAGAGATAGGTTTTCGGGCGAATCGTATTCGGCCCCGGAGTCCCATATACTTGCTCCGACAGCCGGCGGACCACAGACGTATGACGTACTCCAGGCCGAAGAAACACACCAGGAAGATCTCCTGTTGGGAGGAAACATGACAGGCATTTTATTGCATTAGTTATTTCTGTTATTGTTGTTGTTGTTGTTGTTGTTGTTGTTGTTGTTATTGTTGTTGTTGTTGTTGTACGGTTTATTTTTGGTTGTTATTTGGTTGTTGTTTAATTCTTAATTGCCTCTTGCCCATTCTTATGTTAAAGACGCCATCTCGTCAATAAAAAGGGGTGAGTTTAAAATCAGTATTTTTTAAGTCTGTTTTTAGTTGGGTTTTGTCGTATGGGTTTTGTTTTTGTTGCTGTTGTTGCTGCTGCTGCTATTGTTGCTGTTGTTGTTCTTATGTTGTTGTTGTTGTTGTTGTCGTTTTTGTTGTCGTTGTTTAATTAGAAGATTGTCTGAATATGCAACTGTATAGTCAATAATCACCTGTCTGATTTTTCTGAATACAATAATAATATTCTGACATAAATGTCAGTTGTCTTGTCGTCTGTATCACAGAGTCTTGAGTTAAGAAACCTTTTATCCCAGCACCTAGTTTCATTGACAAGCCCATTTGTTCGCTCGTTTGCTTGTTCGTTTGCATGTGTGTGGGTTGTTGTTTTTTTTTCGGGAGGGGTGTTGGTAGTAAAGAACAGAACATCGATACAACAAAGGTCATTGTGTGTTGGAAAAAAGTAAGGCAAAGAGAAACAACAAAGGGAAAGAAAAGAAGCGAGTAACTACCCGTGATACCCTCCAGTCACCCATCTCATTGCACGTAAAGCAAGCACAAAGTTGAAAAGGCGGGTGGTTTGTGGGTATCGACATTTTGGATTAATTTCTTTAATTACTTTTGAGGTAACGTTTGGGGTAAGGAGACGGACATCAATGCAGTAATGGCCGTTTTGCGTTAGTAAAAAAAATAAGACAAACAGATAAATAAAAAAAAGAGAGAGATAAAACCTACCAGCAGGTCTTCAAAGCTATCATCTCTTTTGGGTGCACTTATATATGTGCGGATACTCAAATTAAGATGTTCTGATTTTTTTTGCAGTTTCTGGAGGCTTGATCTATAGACATTTTTTGAAAATGTCCAACTGTGACCTTTGAGGAGCGGTAGCCTCCAATTTCAGATGTCATCTCATTTGGACAAACGCTTTCAGCATGTGAAGTGGAGACTCACTTATATTATTCAATGGTTCCGTGCTCTGTGTGTATGCAGTGTGCGTTTAACGCACCATTCAATATTGTAAGGTTTGAAAGGAGGCAGGACATCTGGGTGTTATCCCCATGTCCCACAGGGCCAAGTTGATTAGACGGCTTTTTCTTTTTGGGGATTATTTTTTCTTGTTTTGTAGACACGTATGTCGTAGGTTCTCGCACAAGCACTTGGCACTGTGTACAGTTTTAAATTAAACAACACCAGCTAGACCTAGCGAGCGACAAAACAAAAAATTCGATGTCATGCAGAGTCCCCCCACCCCCTACTCCACTCCCTTTTAACCCCCGCCCGAGACACACAATTATCCACAGTCTCATGTTTAAAATTTGGAAAGTGCTCACGTTCTTTTAGGTAGCTTTCCAGAAATGAGCAAAGACGCTTTACTAAGTGGCTAGTACAGTTGCCATGATCTTGAATGGAAAGACTATGCGACTTCTAGGGTATTCATGACCATAACTGTAATTTATAAAAACATTGCTGGTCAGATGTTTTGGATTCGCTGCCGCGATACAGCTAGCAAAGATGGCTGTCTACATAAAGTACCCGCAATAGGTCTATACATCCTCAATAATCACAAGCACATGTCTCATAGACTGACAGAAAGATAAAATCTCCTTGTTCCAACCGCACGCGAGGTCAATACATAATCTCTTCCCTACGGTCTTCAACCGCGTTCTGAGCAGGGTCAAAACAAGAGTGCACTTCCGTGATGTAGGAGGGCGTCGTCACAGAAACGTTTGGGTGTATTTAATGGTGTTTGATACGAGGTGAAGGCCTGAGGATATTTATCGTTACAACACAGATACCGGTGAGGTCAAGAGATCCGAGTGAAGAAATGCGAAGGGAAAGCAATTCGTTGGCAAAGTGTTCAAAGAACATAATCCAGAATACATCATAAGAAATTAAAATAAATGTTTTATTCTTTAAACAATTTATATCCTCATTATGTACCTTTTCTTATTTTAAAAAAAATAGTTTGAATTCAAACTAAATATTTCATGAGCACCTGCAAACAGTACCAAAGATTGATATCATTTTAAAAAAATCAAAATCATTGTTTAAGTACATTCTAACAGCTGGCTGAAGAATTGTGAAAGTAGAGGTTTCACGCTTCCATTAATACACTTTAGATTATTAAAATGTAGAAAGTAAGCTGCTTCAACCTTGCCTGACAAAGCCAACACGGGTTGAGAGTGATACAACGTCTCAGCTGAAAGACTGAATGTTCCTCAATGAAAATTGTACCTGCCGGGGAATTGAGCTTACTACTTCCGAATGATATGGCGAAGCGCCTGACCGTTACACCACAGACACGTTCAGTACGAAGGGAATAACAATAAGTACAGATGGTTTAAGGTACTGAAGAGAAAACAAATGAAAAAACGATTTTTGTTTAAAACCCCAAACATGATATTATTTAAATGTATCAGTTGCATGCGACACGAACATAATCAAGATACAGTCTCTCAAACGAAGAAAGCTGGATATTTTACACTGTTAATTGTGTGGGTCGAAGTCGGCGGTCGGAGTGGGGGTGGGTGGGGGGGGGGGTAAACTGTTATGTAGTTCAATTATGACTTTTTAAATGCATGTAACTGTGGGCAGTGTTAGGGCTCTTTCTATTGTAGGTCGCGTTCACGTCATCAATGATAATACATAACAAGATGGGCCACTCAGCCAAAAAAGTGTCCGCAGGAAGTATGCTCTTTGCTTCAGATGGCGCTGCAGTCTGTTTTGAAGCTCTCTTTCGTTTTTCCAGAAGAAGAATAGGAATAGCACCTCCTTGCGTGCGCAGATCGACTGCTGTTCATCAGCAGTTCGGGTACGTTCAGTGCGGAGTTTTAGTTTTTTTTATATTTTAATGACCTCTCGCCTTTCATTCTAAAGTCAAATTAAACAAAGAAAACCATCACCCTTTCCTCCGGAAGAGGTTTTTTGTCAGCGTAACCATTTTAAAAAAGCGTTCTTCCGAAATTTATCCAAAAAACTTGCTAGTTTCACTTTGATTTTGTAAAACTCAAGTAGGGTAACTCTGTTCGCAAAGAGTGCGCTTTTGTGAAGAGGGCGCCACCAAATTTGGAGGACACTTTTTTAATTGGCTCAAAGAGAGAAGTGGCCCATCTTGTTATGTACTATCATTGACGTCATTGCGTGGCTAGCTGGGAATCGAAGGTTGGTTTTTCTTCGTTTTTCTTTTAATCTGTTGTTGTATTTTTACATTTTTCGAACACTTATAACGTTTAATGTATTTAATTTATGTATTTATGTATCTATTTTTCCAGAGGGGGATACCATGATTTAAATATACACAGGAAAGCTTTTAAGGGAATTTAAAAAGTATTGCCTTCTCTCGTGGCTTTGCTTCTATGTTATGCATTGCTATTTCAGTCTTTACCTCAATAAAGTTTCTCTTCATCTCCAGTTTACACATTTTGAAATAATTGAATGTTTTCTTAGGCGTCTTCACCAATTATTTGTTCCTCTTATTTCAGAACTCCTTCTCTTCCTCATTCATCTTCGCTTCCTCCGCCCTATCATTCTCATCCTTCAACTCAACCCTTTACTTCCTCGCATCCTCCTCCTTCTCCTTCTCCTCTTTCTCCTCCTACTGACCACTTTCATCATCATCATCATTATCATCATCATCATCATCATCATCATCATCATCATTATCATCATCATCATCATCATCATCATCATCTTCTTCTTCTTCTTCTTCTTCTTCTTCTTCTTCTTCTTCTTCTTCTTCTTCCTCCGTCCCTTCATCCCCAACCACACTTCAACCCCATCACAACCACAATGTCTCCTACATCAGGACTTACCATCCAAAAGAGTGTTTCCATAGCGAAGGTCGTGTACTGCTCAATGGTTGAAAGCACGCTGAAGATAAGGCAGATGAGAACCATCATAAATCTGAGGAAACGCAAAGAGAAATTATAAATAATAAGACACAACAAAGTTAATGGAGAGAGAGAGAAAAAAAGACACAGAGAGAGGGGGGGAGAGTGTGAGAGAGGGAGAAAGAGAGAAAAAAAAAGAGAGAGAGAGAGAGAGAGAGAGAGAGAGAGAGAGAGAGAGAGAGAGAGAGAGAGAGAGAGAGAAAGAGGGAGAGAGGGAAAGAGGGGAGGGGGACAGGGAAAAGAATGACGATAATGTTGATGATGATGATAAATAATAATAATGGATTGCATTTATATAGCGCATATCCACTTATGCAATGCTCTATGCGCTTAACATGATACATATTATGGATTTACAAATCAATTTTAAAGGCACATAGTGTTACATACGCGTGCCTGCACATACTCACGCACGCAAGCACCACACACACATACAAACATACATACACACATACACATCACATATACGTACATACGCACATATGTAAATACAAACTCACAACGATCTACAGCTTGAATGGATTCTGTCTAATCGAAATATGATGAAAATAGAAATGCTTTTAGTTTCTTCTTAAAAATGTCTAGATTTTCTGCTTATCTGATAGTATTTGGAAGCCTATTCCAAACAAGTTGGGCAAAATATGAAAAAGAGCGTTGGCCATATGTTTTGTAATTTATTTTAGGTTTAACAAGGGTTGCTTTGTCAGTTGATGATCTGAGCGTTCTAGGAGGTACATAGGGTGTTAACTGTTTTAGATAGTCAGGTGATAAATCATGTGAGCACTTGTAGCAAGTTAAACAGATTTTATATGATACGCTCTTTCACCGGGAGCCAGTGTAGTTCTTTTAAAATAGGAGTCACATGACCATGCTTTAGTTTTTTAGTATTTATTTTGGCAGCAACATGTTCTTCTTCTTCTGATGATGATGATGATGATGATGATGATGGTGATGATGATCATGATGATGATGATGATGATGGCGAGATGGGTGGGTGGAGGGCGCCACTGTGGGGCCTTATTTTCTGTTCTTTCCCTGTGTAGTTTGTACCTTTCAGCCTAGATTTCTTCTTGCACTAGATGACCGTTTCCGTGTCAAGGTGCTTCTCTTTACTCAAAGAAAACAAGATAGTGATGAGTAGGGAGAGTAGCAGGTGAGAAGGATAGAAGGAAGAGGAGGATTAGGAGAAAATGGAAGGGGAGTAAGGTGTTGGAACCATCAGGGTTATTTACCTTACCTCCGACGCCTGCCTCATACGGCTGGGCAATGAGCCGCTTTAGCAAAATCCGGATAATAATGTGTTAGTGCACCTCTTTGGCAAATATTATTATATGAACCGCTTCGGAAAATGGGTTAGAACCGCTTCGACAAACGGGTTAGCATCACTTCAACAAATGGGTGCACCCAATTCGGCAAACGGGTCAGGAAAGAGTTAAAAGTCTGAATTCGGATAATGTTTCATTGAGAATTATCCGGTTATCCTTATAAATAATCAGTATTTTGCCCACCTCTACTGCCTCGTCCCTCAACTACCCTCCTCTCCAACATTTGCCTCGCTGAACACACGAACACACACACATAGACAGACACACACACATGTATACACACATACATATACTCACACACACACATACACACATACACACACACGCACACATACACACACAGACACACACACACACTCACACACAAAAACACATACATAATAACACACATATGAACATAAACACATACACAAATACATATATACAGATACATATACACACACAAACACACACACATACACACAAACATACACGCACACACAAACACACAAACTCACAAACACAAATGCACAAACCCACATACACACACATAAACACATAGACACAAAACACACACGCACGCACGCACGCACGCACGTGCACACATACACACTGATGAACCTACATCTGTCTTTGAGTCCTCTTGACACTTTTATCACGCATGAAGTATAAAATAGACATATACATGTATATATAAGTATATATA